TTTTTTGTAGCTTTACAACAATAATGAACCCCAGTATTCCAGACGTACAGGTCCAAATTCAAACCTCGAGTATTTTTTTTTTCCTTCAGTAAACAACTAACTTCAAAAACGACAAATACCTGCCATTAATATAAGGTTGTTACTTAATGGCATCACAATTACACACTATTAAATAAGTCAGATAAAACCTCGCTAAAGTGGGAGACATATGTAAAAATTTCATACCGCCAACCGTTTTGAACGACATATGCAAAGCGCCTGGTGATGACGTCAATTTATTTTGCTGTCCACCAACTGCCATAAATATCAGAAATTGTTTTTACTGGGAAGATTCGCAAAACAGAGCCTAATCAAAATATAAAATAATGCACATAAGTTATATTTTCACTCTTCTGTGAAAATATAAATAAGCGAGTAAACTAAACGAATCAGCTTGAGGGAGTTACTGTGAAATACGACGGGCGGTCGCTGAGGACCATGGAATCAGTACGGCACAACAGCCGCCATATTATGAGTGTCAAGTTTACAAGGCATCTGTGGGATTAAACGCTGTAACCGCTACCATGGAAACGAGTGGTGTTCGTATGTTGCCTGTTGTTCTTTTCTACTTTGTCTGTCGTCAGTTTAAACAATTTAAATAAAATTGCAATGTTAATTTAAAAAGAGTAAACTTTTTAAAGCACTGCAATATTTATTAATACGTTTTAAGCATGTATATAAAACCTTTGCATTTTTTTGCTAATGTTTTAGTTAGGCGGTGTTAAAAACCACTAAGTGAGTAATAGCAAGTTGACACCCTTACATTTGAAGCAGCATTGATGTATATAGCGAGTTATTTAAGTTCACTGATGCAGATGTCTCGAATCGTGAAGAAATCTCCCTCTGTCTGTACGGATCTCCCTCTGAACAGCTCAGATGTTTGTAACAAACTCCGCTTGATGAAGGAGCTTCTCAAGTCTTCTTACGGTCCTACTGCCAGGCTGAAACAAGTTCATAACAACATCGGAGGGGCCGTAGTGACCACCTCCACCTCATCTGTTCTCCTTCAAGCCATTTCCTCTTCTCATCCCATCGTGAGTCTGATAAAAGGCTCCATTCTGAATCACGTCTCCCGCTTTAGTGACTGTGGTTTGTTTGCTTCTATTTTCTGTCTGTCTCTAATTGAAGAAGCAGGGCGGTGTGACCTCAGCAAAAACGTGATAATCAGAGTAAACAAACACCTTCTGTCTCTCTGCACTGCTCATCTACAACAAGAGGACTGTGGTTGTAAAGTCCAGCTGGATTTTTGCAGCAGCCAGAGTTTAATTACTTTAGCTCGCAGTGTTATCTCCAGCAAACCGACATGTGTGCTTTCAGAACCAGAATCAGCCCACATCAGCAGGCTGGCTGTTCAAGCCTTCTTACTGACTGTTCCTTGCAACATCCCAGATAAAGTCCGGCTTGGCAGAACAGTTACTATCCCAATGGAGGGACACTCTGTGCTGGAATCAGCCGTCTTTCCAGGCCTACTATTGGACACGCCTGAAAACATTTCTCTTGGCAATCTTTGTAGTCCACTCCGTATGGTTCTGTTCAGTGCATCTCTGGCTGGAGATCTTAGTGAACTTGGAGATGGTAGGATCGAGGTGCATCAGGGTGTGGACACTGACTCACAGATCGTAGATCAGCTTTTGGAACTTGGAAAGCAGGTGCTTAAAGATGAGGTGAAGTTATTTGTGTGTCAGAAGGTCATCCACCCAGTGCTGCAGCACTACTTGAGATGCAATGGTGTAATAGTCATAGAGAGACTTGGAATCAGCCTCATGGAGCCACTTATTCAGCTGACAGGTAGGACTTTGTTTCATCCAAATATACAGATAAGTACAAATACAATCTAGATTGCATAGTATTGCTTAAAAGTACAATAACGGTGAAGGGGATGCAAGGCATCTCTGAAAATGAATTTTTTTGTACAATAGCTTTTGTGATTAATGTTCTCCCTGTCCAGTCGGTCAGATTAGACAGTTCATTTACTATATAGGGGATTTCTGAATTCAATGGTGCTCACTGAATTTTATGCAGGGTGGCTAAACTCAAATAAACAGAGACATTTCAGATTTTTATTACTAATGAAAAAAGTGAGAAAAATGTAGAATTTTCTTTTCATTTTACAATTATCCACTACTTTGTGTTGATCTTTCACATATAATCTGAGTAAATCACATTCTGAGTCGTAAAATGACAAAATGTGGACAATTTAAAGCTGATTGCATTCTTTTGGAAGCCTCTGTAAGCACCTACATGTACACTGCGTTTCATCAATGTCTGTAGTTTGCAGTTAAAGTACATTTTGCTCCTGGTTTACTTCTCTAATAGGTGCTCAACCTGTGGCAACACTGCACACCACAGTCCCATGGGAAGCCTATGGAGAGGTCCATAATGTCAGTGTTAGGCCGTTTGGATCCAAGACAAAGCTGCATTTACACCCTGCTGGGAAAACAACCATCTGTACCATGATCCTCTGCCACAGGAATGAAACGATGCTCAGTGAACTGAAGGTAAGATAAAATAGAAACTACAGCTCCATTGTTGGTTTTAATGCATAAAGTAAATTAATAAAGGATATTAAGGATGTAAAATGCATGGCGGTGCTATTGTTTTTCAATGATACATGGCTCTTTATGCCTATGTTATAAACCAATATTTTTTTTAAATGCTGCAGCTGGTGTGCCAGAAGACGGAGCATGTGTTGAGGCTCACTCTGAGGGAGCCGTGTGCTTTACTCGGAGGTGGCTGCACTGAAACCCACTTAGCTGCTTATGTCAGACACCAGGTCAAAATCCTTTCCATTTATTCATTTTTTATTAACTTTACTAGGGCTGGATAATAAATCAGTAATAATATATGTTATGGTAGCCACAGGATCAATGTTAATAGATAATGTATCTATATATTTTCAATATATAGAACATTCACTGAACTCTTATCCAGAACCACACGACATTCTGGGGGATGTAGGCAGAGGGAAAAAAATTAGACACTCAGCCTCTCATGGTTAGCTAAGCAAGGTTGGTGGCATCTATTAACTCACTCAGTCTTTGGTTACCTAGCAACAACCTGCAGCTGAGTAACTTGTGCAGTATCAGTTTAAGGTTTTGCCACCCTGCCTCATAACTTCTTAAAAGTTTAAAAAAAAAACAACAGCATGTAGTGAAAACTGGATAAAAGAGAAAAGGTCACGTCACTAGTTTTCCAGTATTCCAGATATTTAAAACAAAAATAGATATCACCTGATCCAAAACGCTTATATTGTGAGATGTTGTTTTCAGCCATTATCGTCCAGCCCTAAACTTTACATTAATCTTAGCTTTTGTAATGATAATATCTTCTTTTACAGAGCAAGAATGACGTGTCGGAGTCCTCACCTGTTTTGGGCTGCTCACAGACAGAGTACCTTCTTGCCGCTGAGGCGTTCTGCCGCTCTCTGGAGTCGGTGGCCACGTCTCTAGAGCACGACGACGGGGCTTCTCTCATCGACCTGACTCACGCACACCACTGGACTCTCCCTTCAGATGCTGCAGAGGAACATCTGGAGGACGCTGCGGCACTCTGTGGCTGTGGAGTGGTACAAAGCTGCCAAAATAAAAAGTGGAGCTACCTAAACACTGAATATGCAGAGTTCTCCCCAGAACCCTTGTTAACAGCGTCACCGCTGCAGCCGACCGTACTCGACTCCTTCACAGCTAAAGTTAACGCGTTAGAAGTTGCCGTGGAAACTGCTAATCTTGTACTGGATGTGAGATATGTCATTCAGGATGTGAACTAACTAAAGAGATGTGTTATCAACAATGACATAACGTCACAGACACACTTTTGTGATTTTTAATTTTATTATTACGCTATGTAAACAGTAAATTACATTTTTACTATTCTTATTCAGCATGCAGAACACTCTGGCAGTAAATTAATTCACATCAATATAGCATCCCCACTGTAAAACAAAATGGTGGCACCATCATGCTTTGGGAATGTTGGTCTTCAGCAAGAAGCAGGAAGTTCCTACCATCTCTTCCATGGATCATAAAGAGTATTGTCCTCAACTCCAGCGTCTTTCTAACCATATGGCCAGAAAGAGATATAAAGAGGAGCAGCAAAAGCAAATGAGGTGGATTATCAGAGCTTGTTAACAACTTATGGTCTCATCCAGGACATGTTACTGTGGAACATCGTCTCTACTGCCCAGATATTGAGCTGTTGGCATGTCATGACAGCCTTCAGAATGTTCTTCAGTGAGAACACTTTTCAGTTTTATTACAATACTGACTGCTACCGAAGATCCTTCCTGTCCACAGCATCACCATCCATGACAACTTAACATTTGAAAAGTGCAACACATAAACACAGAACAGTTTTGTTCATGTACTGTTTGCAATCAGCCTTAGAGCATAATTGAATATTTGGAGTGCTGGTCAGAAGTTTATGAGAATTAATCTTGCACTTCGGTCCCTCGGTGTTTGCAGCAGGATGCTGCATATCTTCTATAAGTCTGTTTTGGAGTGTGTAATCTCTTTGGTCATCATCTGTTGGGGCAACAGCATCAGAGCGAGGGACAACAGAGTCGGTGAGAAAAGCTCAGCAAGCTGATGAAGAAGGTTGGCTGTTTTCTGGACTGCTCTGGGGATGATGGTGCAAAGAAGAACTTTTCATAAAGCCAAGAAAATTTTGGACAATCCTTAGCATCCTCTACATCATAACAAAAACAGTTTTTAGTCAGAGGTTTCTTCAAAGCTGCTGTTATACAGACTGCTACAAAATGTTGAACTACATAAAGCCTAATACCAGAAATAATGGTAACTGGCCTGAAATGTTATAGTGCTTTATCTAGTTCAGAGGGTCAAAATGCCTTACACTGCAATTAGTCATCCATTCATCTGACAGACGGAGTGGGGATTTGAATTAGCAACCCACTGTTTACAGAACAAACTCCTGCCTCAGAGAATCAGAACATCGAACTTTTTTTAAATTGAGCTGGTTATTACCCACCTTTAAAAAACCTTAGCAAAGTTTCATGAAACATTAAATGGACTCCCGCTTTTTTTTGTTTTGTTACTTTTTTTGAAATATGTATTGACCGTATGGCCAGAAAGAGACAAAAGAAATATCAAATTCTAATTAAATTCTAATTAAATAATACTCCTTTCATATCTTAAAAAAATAAATAAAATTTCAGTTTTGATGTGGGCACAAATGATAGTAAATCATGACATTTTCTTTAAAAAAAAAAAAACCATCTGATCCACTGAGCAATGAAACGGACCTGAATAGAAAAGCCTTTACTCCACAGGGTCCAGTCCAGTCAAGTCAAGTTTATTTGAACATCACATTTTAGCAACAAGACAGTTTGCAGCGCTTTACACACACATCACACAGTATCCAGTTATGAAACAAGTAATAAACATTACATTTCATCAAAATCAAAGGTAATTCTAACACATGGGGGTTTAGACTTGATTTAAAGGAACTCAGTGTTTCAACTGTTATGCAGTTTTCGGGAAGTTGGTTTCAGATTTGTACATATTACCGTATACTGCATATTGGTGTATATAACATTTAATGACACATTAGGTTGTTATGAGTTGCTGGACACTATTAAAAGCTCTTTTTTGTTAGTTTGTTTTAGTGTTTCTTTGTGCGCACAGCCATTTTGGATTCCTGAATAAAAGCTGGCACTCGTACCTGCAATTCTGAGAGCATCCACCAGGCGTCACAAAGCAAAAACAAGATTCTGTCGAGAGTTTTGAGCAAAATGGCCTTGAAAGGTTTCATAAATATCAGAGTATAAAAGATAAATTAGGTGTTAAGAGGGCTGAAAGCACAATTTAGATGCAGATTCCTAAAGCCATCTGCCAAAAAAGAGTTTGCATGCTTACTTTATTTCTTTTCCTTTTTTTAAATGGTCGCAGGGGATTGGTGCCTTTCTCCAGCAGTCGTTGGACAGATCCCCAGTCCATCACAGAGCAACACAGAGAAAAACAACCATGGGAACCACACCCTCATATATACAAATTTAGCTACCATTTAATCTAACAGTTATGTATTTGAACTGTGGGAGTACCAGGAGAGCACCATGCATGCACAATGAGAACATGTAAACTCCATGTTCTCAGAAAGACCAAGGATAGGGAGTCGAAACCAGCACCTTTATTCTTCCATAAACGAGAATGTGCAGAACCCAAACACACGCTCAGAAGGTAAATTCAGCTGTTTGACTCATGTATGGTGAAACGCGGATGCATTTAGAAGTTGAGGGACTGAAGCTGTAAAGGGTGGACTGGAGACACTTGACTAGATCCTCCATCAGGGGGCAAATAACAAGCGTAGACACAATTTGATACAGAATGAGTTTGAGGAAAACATTCACTTTCTTAAAAATAGTAGAGGCCTCAAACACATCCATGCAGGTGCAGCAAACATCTGTATTAAAAATGGTACACTGAGTTTATAGTGTTTTTTTTGTAATACTGAAAACTCAAAATGGTTTAAAAACCCTAAAGACCACAAAAATCACATTCTTCTAGTCATACTCACCAACACATACAATTGCATACACTGATACGCAGACAAGTAGGCAACTCTGGGTTAAGTGCCTTGAGCAGGGGAACATCAACATGTGACAGGAAGAAGCTGGAACCTGCATTATTATGTTTTTATGGTGTGAAGCACTTCGAACTGTCTTGTTGCTGAAATGTGTTATACAAATAAACTTGACTTGACTTGACTTGGAACCCACAAATTCCAACTTCAAAATTATTACTCTACCCAGTGAGCCACATTTGCCCTCTGGTGAGGAGACCGTGTTCTTTTTCTTCAAGGCATAAATAGATCAAGGGCTGCACGGTGAGAAAATTGTGGCAATAAAGTTCTGGGTTTGAATCCCAGTCTGCAGGCATTTGTGCATTTAGTTTGCATGGTTTCCCCATTTATGTGTGGGTTCCCTCTGGGTACTCTGGTTTCCTCAGCACAGCACATGTTTAAAAAGAGCAACCTTAAAAGTAGAGACCTCAGAAATATGTCTATAAAATATCATGCGTTTGGTGTTCTAGAGATAAAACTAGAACCGTTCCCCAACAAAAAGTAATGAGAGGATGTTTCAGAAGATGAATGGAATCAAAGCCTTTCGAAACCTGGGGTATTCTTTAAAATGTTCCTTATAAAACCTGCAACAAAGATAAGAGAAATTAGGAATAAAAGAATCGACAGTACAAAAACAGGGATCATTAATCTTTTGAAAATATTGTAGGTACTTGTGATGGTAATAGGCTCTTGGTCCAATAAAACAGAGGCTAAAGACAGCAATTGAAAATCCTGGAAGGGACCATGTCACTATGGCATAGCCAAACCACTCCACCAGCTCCCCAAAGTAGTTGGCACCAGACACATATTCAAATAGGCCTCCTGCAGGAGATTAAGGAGACCGTGTGAGTGTAAGCACACTTTGGAGGAGAGTTTGCTTGAGTATAATCAGGTTCATACCTGCTGGAATTTTGTAAACTATCTCTTTCGGTTTCCTCAGGTTGCGCAGAATGTAATCGCTGTGTATATTAATGGCCATTCCGATGTAAAACACCACTAAGCCTGAAACAACATGCAACACAACTAACATTTCACAAGCCGTCTTATGTTTAAAACGGATTTAAGATGAGAGGGGGGTTGGGGGGGAAGAGGGTGTGCTTACCAATTGTATAGCAGTAGCCAGCTGACCATTTCTCATCAAACTGGGCACAGTGCAGCAGATAGTGACCCTGCAGAAAACCGTTCAAAAAGCAGAAGAAACCTCCTGTGGTCATCACACTCAGAGGGAAAGGCTGTCCTCTGGTTAGCAGGGAATACACAAATGTCCTGTGATAGACAGAAAGATAACAGAAAGAGAAGGTAGACCAAGAGGTGGAGGTGTAACGTTACTACAGCTCATATCCTGGATACGTTCAGCCATTCCTAAAATCAAGGTCCCAGAGTTTGGAAGCAGAGTAGGTAGGCACAGAATCCAAGCTGTTTGAGGTCGAGTCCGAAGTGCTTTATTTGGCCAGCAAATTAGCCTGACCTGAACCTGAACGGAGTATTGTTGAGAGGAAGTTGAGAGGCTGCAGAGCCAACAATGTGGATGAGCTGAAGGTTGCTTTCAAAACAATCTGGGCTTCCACAGCAGAACCACAGTTTGATCCCCTCCATGTTCAGCTTCACTGATGCAATAACTCATGCAAAAGGAGGACCAATCAACTATTGAGTGCAAATACAGTTCATGACAATGTTATAAGAGAGTGTATCAGTAAAGACCAAAAATGAACAGAAATAAACACTTAAAATATGTCTTATGAATCTACTGAGCTGATTTATTGAAATAAATTAACTTTTCTAACATTTCAAGATCCAGCTGAATGTAAATGGCTTTCCCATTGCTTATATTGTCTTTGAGGTAAAATGATAGAAATTTTCAAACATAAACAAGGTCATATAATATGAACCCTAATCCCCCAGTACCAGGGGCAGAGATAAACTTTTCCCCCTACACTCATTACTGCATGTCCCTCCAGTTCAACATAGACATATTTGGCATCGACAAAAATGTCAGATTCTTGGAAGCTGATAAAAACCATTAGAGTGGAGCAGGAAGCATCTGAGTTTATGTCCAAGGGCTGCGGGACAGATGTCAGTGACCAGAGAGCCTTCATCAAAAAAACATTGTAGGGAGCTCTGGAAGTGGCAAAAAAATTATATATTTTGGTAGTTTAGGGAAAAAAAATCTGCAAAATGTGTCTAAATTTGGTGTAAGCTTTCATATTTTACACTGGATTTTGCAAATCCAGTGTAAAAAAATGTGGAAGTAAAGAAAAGAAGAAGAAAAAAACATACTGTTTTATTGTAATTGGATGAAAAATAAATTAAAAATAATAAATTAAAATAATGCAAGCACATAGCTGTGTAAAAATAATTTTATCATGTTTAGTAAGTGAAAACACAGGAAATCTGTTTAGTAGGTGGTGGCAACTTGTGCCACTGGAAAAAAAAAAACCTGGGAATGTTTTAATGAAACCTCTGCAAATTTGCTCTAGTTTATGTCAGCTGCATCAATCTTTGCACAGGTGGATGTACGGTTTCCAAATGTTTACATTTCTAAAAGGTTTATGTACTGCAAAGTGCAAAAACATTCTGGCAAGGGACAAAAAAAAAAATCCTAATTATTTTATGCATCATCCACATTTTTAACTATAGCAGCATCCCAAAGGTTTGCTTTATTTTGGTACCAAGATCATTGAAATAGTTTGTCATTGCTGAGTAAAGCTAAACTACATTTAGGTATATTATTTTAAAGACGTACTTCAGACAACCCTGTGGGGCTTATGAGCATCCTAAATTAAGCCTCTCTCTTTGCTCTTACCTGTGGAAATAGTGCAGACAGAAGGTCTTTAGCAATATGGCCCTCCCCATAGTGGAATATTGGCGTGAAAGGTGCATCAGCAGCAGGGGCATCAGAAGAGCTGGCATCTCCTGCAGGAACCAGGCGACTCTGGCAGGGACCATCCTAGCTGGAGCGGTGGGTTTCATGTGGCGTCCATAGGAGGCCTGTGCCTTCCTGTGATTGATCAGGTGAAGAAGTCCTGCCAGCAGCATCCCACAGCTCAGACAGTTCACCACGCTCTCATAGCAGTGCATCTTGCAGATCTCGTCCTCCACTCTACAGTAATCCCTTCTAGTTCCGAACTAATCCTGAGTATCTGTTTAAAGCTGAATGGATGTAAACAGCCTCTCTGTGACTCCTCCCAGAGAACACAGCCAAAGTCTGTCAGCCAGCCTGCTGAAACATGAAAGTGTTCCCTTTTTCACAGCTTATGTACATATTTTGCCTGAGGCGAGGTTATGATTATCCCGCCCTCCCGAGCACAAATTTAGGTTTTGCAGTAAACCGGGAGCAACAGCCATGGAGTCATCTGTGACAGATGACTTCTGGTAAGAGCTTGCTTCATGTTAAAACTCCCTAATATATGCGTCCATCCAGTTAAAAAGCTCACAAAGCAACTTGGGCAAAGAAAAAAATCCGGAAATCTGATTGTTTTAATAGATTTATTTGTGCACTTGCACATTATTTCCTAATTGAAATAGGACCAAGTAGTTAAAGCTTTTCAATCTCCTCAGCAACTGCTTGGATTACATGAATGTGGATGAGCACGTTGTTGGCACACCTGTCAAATTAGATAAACAGGGCTAGAATTAATAGATGAGAAAAAAAGGAAATAACTGAAACAAGTTCAAATAAAAGCTGAAAAGACTCCAAACGGTGAGAAGCAATCTGATTTCTACAGTATGGCTCCCAGGAAGCTACAGAGCTGAAAGGATCATTACTTCCTGTTGTTACTGGAGATAATAATCATAAATTTTCTGCCGGATAATGCAAATGTAATGAGATTGAACTGGAGTGCTTTAGAACAAGTTATGCTTTTTAAGTGCTTCTCCTGTTCGTGGTGCTGCCCTGAGTACACAACTCCAAAAATTAGATCATCACTGAAAAGTTAATTTAATTAATTCATTCATTCAATTTTAAGAGTGAAACTAGAATTTCATAGAGACCGATAACACAGCATGATTGGCCTAATTTTTAGAGCAAATATCTTAGTATACTTGAGACAAAAACTTGAGTGACTATTCAGCAAAACATAGGAGCATATTTTGAGTAAATAATTCCTTAATATTGACAGAAAAGTATTAGTTCTGCTGGCAGATTATTTCACTTACAACATTGGAAAAAGTTTTGATATAAGTGAAATAGTCTGCCAGCAGAAATGTTTTTTTTTTTTTTTTTTTTTTTTTTTTTTTTTTTTAACCGGGGCTTTTTAAAGATTTTTTTTTTAAAAAAAAAAACCCCTTAAAAACAGGCAATTAT